CCAACAAGCAATGTCAGGAGCACTCCTCTTATGCGCCAACAATTCCATTAATTGCTCAGTTACAAAAAACGAGTTTGGTGGGGTAGGCATCCCTTACAGCTAAAACAAAGGCTACGTTACCAATACACCAAGTCTGTTAACTCAAACAAAGATTAGTATGTCTTGCTCAGTAAGAATTTTCGTCACCCTTCTGAACCAGCTGACTGACAGCAGGCAACTGTCGCTGAGAACAGAGTAGGACGCAAATTACGACATCATTGCAAGGAAAACTCTTAACGATTAGAATGTTCTGCCACATAAAAGAGTGGCTTACCATCGAACTTTCCAACCAAAGTTTACAACGCAAAATGATCAAAACTCTATTTTAGGGCTTGACAGCGTTAAAACCACTATCTAAACTCTTTCACCCCAGATGGTAACAAACCTTGTCTACCACAACTCTACTCTCCCAACTGTTTCATCCTTGCCCGCTTCATCCCGCTCTAAACACCTCTCCCAAAATTTACTGGAGTAAAAACACTGGTTGTTCCTTTTTGCTCCACCTTCAAATAGAACGTAAGTTCTGAGGTTGGCCCCTAGACAATATGCTCAGCCTTACCCCCCATCTTCTCTTCAGAGTAATGATCCCTGTCCTACCTGCGTCTCCCAGACATTAGCAGGCGTCCTCACCTTCACAGGGAGGCCCCACCTTCCTCGGATGCCTGTTTAAAGCCCAACGACCGCCTCCCTCCCCGTTCCTCATGCCCACAGCTCTCACCACCACCAATCGGTACTGTATTTACACCTAACTCAATCACGGTCCAAACATCAGACCGATAGTTTTTTGGCCCATTTTGTTCACTCAACTCCCCATGCCCAAGCACACTACATAGTATATATAAAAACATTCTCTGTGGAAACGCGGTACATTTAACATTTGCCGTGCAACGAGCTGGCTGACAGCGAAAACATTTAGGGGACACCGAATAGGAAAAACTAATTTCTAAGGTAAGAGGATCAGAATGCTTCTGATAGTGGCGATTCTTAAGGCCAACATACGGGAATTCAGAAAAACTCTCTTAACAAAATCTCCTAAGACGGAACATTCCTTACTAATCAGCACATGGAGATCTAGGGCCTAAAATTGACTCCCCACCGTCCGTCTTAGGGCCCAACAACTTCCAAGTCTTCCGCAGAGCTCTGCTTTCTAAGAACAGAAAGCTAGAATGCCGAAGTCCTCTGCGTCCGAGAACGCCTGGTGGCCTGGGCCGCTTCCAGGGCGCCCGCGCCGGAGGCCCACGTTGCCAAGATGGCTGCCCTGGAGCCGCACTACCCGGCTCCCCGCAACACACAGGCGCATTCGGTCCTCTCCTTTCCCTTGCGTTCCCTCCTGAAAACTTATGCTCGGAACCCCCGATCCATTCCTGCCAGGCCCGACAGCTGGGGAAAGCCCAGCCGAGAGAACTTGCACTCACCATGGCGGGGAGAGGAGAAGGCCACACTCCTCTCTACCCGGCGGCTCCCACAGGAAAAGGAAGTACGTAGCACTCCCGCGTTCTATATGTCACCTTCGACTCGTTCCCCACCCGGCTCCGCCTCAAGGCCAATCCAGAGACACACATACCTCTCTACCACTCTGAAAAAATAAAAAATAGCACGTTATTTGTTAATCTGCGTCAAATGACGGTATCTATTGGCTTCTAGAGTCAACAATAGCGTTTAGAAACGAGGGATTCCTTTTGGCGGAATAATTCCGAAGTGGGCGTGGCCAAATCTCGCGAGATGAGGTGTCTTCTTTGCAACTACTGTACCGTATTTTAACTTTTTCTTAGGGAAATGAAAAGTTATTGGGAAAGTTTTAAAAAAAGCTACTGGGAAGGAGAAACCCGCTGTGTGCTTGAAAGCAAGAATTTCACTTGTGAACTAACAGGACCTGCGGCGGGCGGTGGAAGTAGTCCCGGCGGGGGCGGGGTCAGGCGCCGGGCTTCCGCCTCCCGCGCGAAGTTTGGTTTGGAGGCCTGGGATCTGCTGTTAGACGGAGGCGGGATGTGGTCGCGAATAAACCGGGCCGCCGAGGAGTTTCACACGCGTCTCCTGCAGTGAGTCGTAGCTCCTGCTGTTGGCTAGGTTGCGAGGACAGCGTTACTCCCTCGGGGTATCTATATGCCCGCCAAGTCTCTTGCCGCAGCCATGGGGATCAGCGCCTTGTCGGTTCTTGGTGGCGCGTACGTTAGACTGAGCTTTCCTGGGCTCCGGGGGTGACCCGCCCCAGTGTGGCCCTGTGGTGTCGTTTAGGAGAAAATAGCTGTGCGTTATCGATCGTGGTGGGAAGTGACAAGTTTTCCAAGAGGCACCTTATTCATTCGGGTAATGCACACGCCTTGCAGGATGGTGGAGGCACTTTTCCTGTGTATGGAAAACCAGGTGTTGGCACCCTTCACCTGTGCAAAGCCTTCCGGTGTGAAACTTACTGCTCTGTAGCCTCTTCGAGATAGTTATCATGTGAGCCACGGTTATGATAACGTGTTGGTGTGTTGGCTTTTTAACGTACCTTTATGTCACTGTGCTCTAAGATTGCATTTTATTTTATTTTTTTAAATATGTTTTCATTTATTTCAGAGAGGGAATCATTGATCGGCTGCCTCTTCCACGCCCCCTACTGGGGATTGAGCCGGTAACCTGGGCATGTGCCCTGACGGGGGCATTGAACCCTGACCTCCTGGTTTATAGGTCAACGCTCAACCACTGAGCCACACCGGCCGGCGGCATTTTATCCTTATAGTGAAGTGATAGTACCCAAGGGGACTCCGTCTAGTCCTGCATCCGACCCAAAAACGGAATCCAGGCGCCCTCAGATTGGAGCATGAATCAGAATCACCTGGAGGGTTGTCAAAACAGCTTGCTGGGCCCCAGCTCCAGGGTTTCTTATTTACATAGTAGGTCTGGGTGGGGCCGAAGAATTTGCCTTTCTAGCACATCACAGGTGAAGCAGATGCTGCTGGCCTCACACCCTTTGAGAACCGCTGGTATAATCTCACCCCTTGTTTTCTAAACTCTATACATTTTCATTGTTTATTGCTTTTTTCTGCTTACAAAAGTGGTTATTGTTGTCAATTTTTTGATCATTATAGAAAGAACACTAGCTTTTTAAAACTAACAGTGTATTGGATAGCTTCCAGTAGGAGCGCCTCTAGATCTTTTTGTTTTTATTAATGGCTATATACTATTTCATTCTATGGTTTGAGAAATATACACATGCTTGAGAAATTATGGCTGAATGATTGATTGTCATCTCTGAGTTGTACATTAAAGACAGACATCTTTTTTTAAAAAAATATATTTTATTGATTTTTCACAGAGAGGAAGGGAGAGAGATAGAGTTAGAAACATCGACCAGCTGCCTCCTGCACATCCCCCACCGGGGATGTGCCCGCAACCCAGGTACATGCCCCTGACCGGAATCGAACCAAACCGGTTTCGGCAAAGACAGACATCTTTAAGTCACAGTCTTGTCCAAGTGGCAAAAGTGAATCAGTCTCAAGCTTATATTTCCCGTTTTATTTCAGTAAATCATAGAGTAGATCAAATAATAAATGGTGTCCTGAAACAATTCCATTGGGTTCCTTTAGGACACTAACGATTCTTTGCTCACTCGGTTGATTGAGTGCCCTCCTGTGCACTGAAGGGTTGCCTGTTTGATTCCTGGTCTGGGCACATGCCCAGGTTTAGGGCTTGATCCCTGGTGGGGGGTGTGCAGGAGGCAGCCAAGGATCCATGTCTCACTCTCAAATCGATGTTTCTCCCTCTTCCTCTTCCTTTTTCTCTGTAAAAATCAATTAAAAATCTTAACACAAAAGAATCTTTCCTCTTTCAGAGCATATAGCGGGCTGATGTGCATTTTGGTATGTTAATGGTTTATAATTTTACATGCTTTGAAATCACTATTTTAAAATTCTCTTGACTGATTAACAAAAATATTTTTTTTATTACAAAAATACAAAAAACCCTGGCCAGCTTGACTCGGTGGTTAGAGTGTCAGCTGAGCACGAATGGCCATGGGTTCGATTCCTGGTCAAGGGCACGTACCTGGGTTGCAATTTTGATCCCCAGCCCTGGTTGTGGTGCATGTGGGAAGCAACCAATCGATGTATCTCTCACATCAATGTCTGTCTGTCTGTCTGTCTCTTTCCCCCCTTCCTCCCTCCCTTCCACTCTCTAAATATCAGTGGACAAAATATCCTCTGGTGAGGAATAACAAAACAAAAAAAGTTAAATTCTCTTGACTGAAATGATAGTTTTGTGCTTACATTGTTATTTTATTATTATTATTGTTTTTGTTGTTAATCCAAAAATTTCCATTGATTTTTAGAGAGAGTGGGAGAGGGAGAGAGAAACATTGATGTGTGAGAGACACATTGATTGGTTGCCTCCCACATGTGGCGGTGGATCTAGCCTGCAACTGAGGTATATGCACTAGACTGGAATTGAACCTGAGGCCCTTCAGTCTGCAGGCCAATGCTCTAACCATTGGACAACCAGCTAGAGCTAATGTGATCAAATTTACTAATTTTTTGTAAATTTTTTGGTAACAACTCATAAAATTAGAGGGAGGATAGATGTTACCATTTTAGCTGTAGAAATCTAAGGCCTGGGTCACTTAAAATAACTTTTCTGTGGTGGCCCAAAATCCAGTCATTTTTACTTCCCAAAAGTCATGTGGTAAATTACATTTTAATAGTAACTAGTCATGTATTTTTAAAAAGAGTAGAGCTGCCTCTTAGAAGCATTTGTGCCCAATTGTGGGCAGCAGTCTATTAATCTCTACTATATCTCTTTTTTCTATTTCTTCTTAACCTAAAACTCTTTTCTGCTTTTTTCCCCTCTTCCCACCTATGCCTTAAGGCTGCCATGTCTACTTTGCATTTTGCTTTTCTCACTGTTGTCACACAGGATGACTAACTCTTGAGTTGAAATGACAGAATTCTGTAACTCTATTTTTCACATGTGGTTCTGTATCACAGGGAATTTGATGAAGAAAAGAAAGGAATCTGTAAAGACCCATTTATCTATGAGGTATGAAAAATTTTTTTGGTTTTTAAAAACAACTCAATAATCCTAAAATTGTGTTTTAAAAGTTGGGTTTATTGAAGTTAATTTAAATAGAGTAAATTTCATCTTTGTAGAGTGCAGTTCTAGGAGTTTTTATAAATGCATTTAGTCATATAATCATCCCCATCAAGATAGAGAACATTTCTGTCACTTCCAAAAATTTCCTCATGTCCCTTTATAGTCAACCCTCTCCCCTGTTCCCAGTGCCTGGCAACCACTAATCTGTTTTCTATCTCATTTTCTGTCTTCTCTTTTGCCTTTTCCGTAATTTCATGTAAATAAAATCATACAGTATGTAGCCTTTTGGGTTTGACTTCATTAATGAGTGTAATGCATTTTGGATTCATCTTTGTTGTTGTGTGTATTAGTCCATTCCTTTATATTGCAGAACAGCTTTCCATTGTGTGGATGCACTATAGTTTGGTTATCCATTTACCACTTGGATTGTGTCTAGTTTGTGATAGTTATGAGCAAAGCTGCTATAAATATGTATTGATTTATTAAGCATCCAATATATGCCAAGCGTTCTATAAGTAAACTCCCCATAGAGTTTAATCCTTAAAGTAATGAGTAAACTAAGGTAAATTACTTACTAAAAGACAAATAAGCTCGGGAAAAATAGTCATAAGTGATCAAGGTTAATATCCATATTTTAAAAATATATTAAAAACTCTTTAAAATCAATTAAGAAAAAAGACAACTATAATAGAAGGACACAAATAAGTAATCACAGGGAAAAAAAGCAAATATAGGTATCTTACACTATCTGAATTCTCACTAACCAAACTCAGAAACTTAGTATATCCAGGTAAATGTATTAATCCCTCCCTGAATTCTTGCCACTTGACATCTATATTAGTTTCCTAGGGCGACTGTAACAAAGTACCACAGATTGGGTTGCTTAAAACATCAGAAATGTATTCTCTTACAGTTCTGGAGACTAGGAGTGTGAAATCAAAGTGCCTATAGGGCTATGTTCCCACTGAGGCTCTGGGAAAGGTTCTTTCCTTGCCTCCTCCTATCTTTTGATTTCTAACAAATCCTTGGCTCTCTGAACTTGGTATCTAAATGCTTCAATAGCTAAAATAAGAAATTAAACATTTAAATAATGAGAGATACTTGTCAATAATAAGCATATTAGAGACTGTTCATCTTCATTTAGTGATCAAATAAATGAAAATTAGAACAATAACAAGATACTGTTTTCTTTTTTAAATATATTTTTATTGATTTCAGAGAGGAAAGGAGTGGGAGAGAGAGATAGAAACATCAGTGATGAGAGAGAATCATTAATCATCTGCCTCCTGCATCCCTCCCACTGGGGATGGAGCTTATAAACCGGGCATGATCAGGAATCGAACTGTGACCTCTTGGTTCATAGGTCAGCGCTCAACCACTGAGCCACGCCAGCTGGGCAGGATACTATATTCTTGCTATGAGACAGTAAAAATAATGAAAATGCTCAGAAAATACTCACTGTGTTGACGTAAGTGACAGGAATACAAATGTGTGGGTATGGTATATTTGAATGGCAAATTGACAATATCGATATGATTTTATATATCCATCTTAAGAAAGTAATCCAATTGTTCTTTTAATAGGGAATAACTTGAAACTACCTAAATGTCAAACAATGTGAAATTATTTATATGATGATAGAGCCATGATACTAGACAAAGAACATTTAATGGCATGGGATTTCATGGTATAAAAACTATTAGAATATCTTATTTTTATTAAGCAAAATCTTATCTATATCTAAATAATAGATACATTTTAATTTAAATAGATTTATTTATATGCCTGGAAAAAGAGCTGGCAAAATACGTACCAGTAAGGCTAATAACAGTAATGATTACCCTGGCTAGTAGAATTATAGGTAAGTTTTTTTTTTTGTTTGTTTGTTTTTTATATTTTATTGATTTTTCACAGGGAGGAAGGGAGAGAGATAGAGAGAGTTAGAAACATCGATGAGAGAGAAACATCGATCGGCTGCCTCCTGCACATCTCCCACTGGGGATGTGCCCGCAACCCAGGTACATGCCCTTGACCGGAATCGAACCCGGGACCTTTCAGGCCGCAAGCCGACGCTCTATCCACTGAGCCAAACCGGTTTCGGCAGTTTTTTAAAATCTCTTTCAGCTATCTATTTTCAAACTTTTCTACAATAAACATGTATTGTGACTGGAATGAAAGACTGCATTTCCTATAAACTGATAAAGTTCTAAATTCCATAGTTCTATCAGAAGAAAGGATAACATTTTGTAAAGGGTTAATTTTGTGGTACTTAAAAATAAATACCATGTGATTAGAGGAAAAGGTTGTCAGCGTGATCCTAATTAAAAGGCAGGGTGCATTTTAGTTGGGCCTTGAAGTGTGTGTAGATATAGATATGAACTACATTTTCTACACAGGAAAAATAATGTGGGCAAAGAGTAAATGAAATCTTTTAAAAGATTGTGTCTGTTCAAATTCTCCTTTCCAGTTACTTGCATGGAACTTGTCTTTATATATTTGTACAAATATTAATCACATAAAACATTGCGTGACATTATCTGTTTTTAATAGGCTGATGTCCAAGTGCAGTTGATTGGCAAAGGCAAACCAAATCCTTTGAAAAATATTCTAAATGAAAATGATGTTGTATTCATCTTGGAAAAAGTGGTAAGTAGTGCTTGGGCTTTGTGGTTGTTCTATTCTTGATAGCCAAATTTGGTTTAATGGGAATAATGTCAAGTGAATACATTTTTTTATCAGCATTTTTTTTTGTTAATCCTCACCTGAGGATATTTTTTTCATTGACCTCTAGAGAGAGTGTGGAAGAGATGGAGTAGGGGTGGGAGAGACAGAGAAACATTGATGTGAGAGAGAGACATTGATTGGTTGCCTCTCACATATGCCCCTACTGGCGATTGGGAACCTGCAACCGAGGTACATGCTCTTGACTGGGAATCAAACCTACGACCCTTTGGTCAGTGGGTCAGCGCTCTAACCAGTTAGCCAAACCAGCCAGAGCAACATATTTTAAAAAATGGATTCTAATTCTTTTAGGAATAAGTAAGTACAGTGTTGTCCAATAGAAATATAATGTGAACCACATATGTAATTTAAATTTTCTGGTAACCTCATTAAAATATAAATGAGTGGCCGAAACCGGTTTGGCTCAGTGGATAGAGCGTTGGCCTGCGGACTGAAAGGTCCCAGGTTCGATTCCGGTCAAGGGCATGTACCTGGGTTGCGGGCACATCCCCAGTAGGAGATGTGCAGGAGGCAGCTGATCGATATTTCTCTCTCATCGATGTTTCTAACTCTCTATCTCTCTCCCTTCCCCTCTGTAAAAAATCAAATGCGCACAAAACACATTCAAATATCCATGTTTTTGGCATGTGTGTTTTATGTGACTTTAAATTTTATTTTTTGAAATTATCATACAGTAAAATTTACTTTTAAGAATGTTATTAATAGAAATAAAAAAGAATGTTATGAATAGAATCATACAGTATGTCTTTCACTCAGTTTAATGCTTTTGAGATTCTTCCAAGTTGTGTGTGTATCAGTGATTCATTTCTCTTAATTGTTGAGTGGTGTCTCATGGTATGGATATACCACAGCTTATTTACCCATTCACCCTTTGAAGGACAATTGGGTTGTTTTCAGTAATCATGAAAAGAGCTCCTATAATCATTTTTGTACAAATTTTTGTGTGCACATAACTTCTTTTAAAATTATCAATGTATTTTTATTGATTTCAGAGAGGAAGGGAGAGGGAGAGAGATAGAAACATCAATGATGAGAGTGAATCATTGATTGGCTGCCTCCTTCACACCCCCAGAGCCTCGCAACCCTGGCCTGTGCTCTGACCAGGAATTGAACTGTGACCTCTTGGTTCATAGGTCATCGCTCAACCACTGAGCCATGCCAGCTGGGCTGCACATAACTTTTCTTTACAGTAAATACCCAGGAGTGGGATTGCTGGGTCTGAAATTAGGTGTAGTAATTTTTAAAAATTTAATATATCTGAAATTATAATTTCAAAACCTAATTAATATAGAAATCATTAATCAGATAGTTTAAGTTCTTTTTTCGTACTATGTCTTTAAAATGTGGTGTGTATTTTACACTTACATCTCAATTTGGTCTGGCCACATTTCAAGTGCTCAATAGCCACATGTGGCCAGTGGCTACTGTGTTGAACAGCACAGCATAAGTAGCTATGACACATGGAAATTCTACTTTAATTTTGTTAACTGTAACAAGAGGGAACTTCTTATTTTTTGTATCATTTTATAATTACAACCTTAATCCTTTTTGTTTTAATTATGGTAACTGTTTTGGCAGTTGTGGTTTTTATTGAGTGCTGTTAATGGTTGCTTGGAGCAACCATTCCTTTGCTTACATCATTTCCTGAAGTAGATAGGAACAGGCTCTAAAAGGGAAAGTGAACGTTTCTTTAGAAGGAACACCTCTGTCTGCTTTATGACCCTCATGCAGTCTGGATAGACATTGTGGTAAATGAACTAGGAGCTTTTTATTTTAAATGCACACACAAGAAAACTTCTTTCTTTCTTTCTTTTTTTAAAATATATTTTTATTGATTTCAGAGAGGAAGGGAAAGGAAGAGAGAGATAGAAACATCAATGATGAGAGGGAATCATTGATTGGCTGCCTCCTGCACGCCCCCCACTGGGGACGGAGCCAGAAACCCAGGCATGTGCCCTGACCGGAATCGAACCCAGGACCCTTGAGTCCAATGGTCTATCCATTGAGCCAAACCAGCCAGGGCAAGAAAACTCCTTTCTGAGGAGGGGAACTTCTTTGTCTTTTAAGTTAATGAATGGGTTTTATTAGTGCTTATCTATGATGGGCAAATGCTTGGAAAATAATTATAGGTGAATTATGTGGTTGAATTTAGACTTTTGTTATGGGGAGAATGGGAAATGTATGTATGTAGGAGAAAAGCTGAAAAAGTTCAGTTATCTTGGAAATGGTAAAGATGAACAGAGGGCATTTGTGGAAATCTGGGTTAGGATTCTAGGGAGAATGCAGCTTTGAGTTTTAAAGAGTTACCTGTAATTCATTGAGGCCTGGCATTTTTGTACGAAGAACAATTAAAATGGCCTTTGTTTCTGCAAAGATCAGTGGAGCTTAATGCCTGATTGTTGAAAAGTAGAGTAGAGGAAAAAATGGTATTTCTTGGGAGCTCTAGTTTAAGGAACTTTTTGGAAAGCCCAGCCTGCAAGGGAATGAAATCTGAAATCTTGCAAAAGAAATTCAAAGTTGAGGAAACATCTAGGTCTGATACCTATTAACTCCGCAGAGGATTTACTGCTAGAAGAGGCTGCCTAGATTCAAATGTTGGCTTTGCACTCAGCAGCTGTGTTATTATCCTAGGCAAGTTATTTAACCATTCACTATCTCAGTTCTTCCATCTTTAAAACAGAGTTAACAATAGTATCAGTCTCAGGGCTTTTATGAAGAATAAAAGAAAATGTAGAACAGTAACTGGTACCTAGTAATGCTCAGAAAATGTTAACTCATAATTATTGTTATTGGCAATTCTGAGCTAGTTAAGTAGTTAAACACATAGATATCAGAACCCTGTAACACAAAGAGACTTGATAGCCCTAAGAGGAATAACTTTAAGGAATCTTCACATTTGGGAAATGAAGAATCTGACAAAATCAGGGAGTCTCCGATGTTTTTTCCCCCTTGGTATTTTGTCTTTAGCATTTTGTGCATGTTGGGACACTTTTTTTCTCTAATGACATCAGATGTTTCCTTTATTAGTAGGAACTTGATAGGACAGTGGAAATGCTTCTGATGGCAAGATGAGTTGGTACCAAACTGGTTTGTAGCTAATTATTCTTGCCATAGCCCAGTCATTTATGCTCAAAGTTTCAGAATCAGTGCATTATGTTTTAGCATAGTGAACAGTTGACTGTTATCTTTCATGTTCTTTTACCTGGTTAAATAATTTAAAAAATTTTGTAAAGCCTTTGGAAAAGGAAGAAACAAGTCACGTTGAAGAGCTACAATCTGAAGAAACTGCTATTTCTGATTTCTCTACTGGTGAGAATGTTGGGCCACTTGCTTTACCAGTTGAGAGGGCAAGGTAAAGTTTTTTCTTAGTATTGGGATAGGAATAGGGGTGGAGGGTAGGAATTTAAATTGAAGCATTCTTATAAACATTAGAAAACAAATATGTATTTAGCGCAGATCTCTCCCTCATTTCTTCCCCCTGCCCCTACATATGTACACCCAACTCTCTACTGAATGTCCCATTGATATCTCAGACATGACCAAGAAGGTTCTTGTGATTGTCCTTTTCTCCAGTCTCCTATACTGTTTGTTGTTGCTTCTTAAATGTTTTCCTTGTGTCTAATCTGGTTCCCCTCCAATCTTTCCTCCTCACTGTTGCCAAGAAAGTCCCTCAGCGATTCTCATTGCCTCGTGATAACATCCAAATTCCTTTTGAGTGATACATAGGAGCCTTCCTTGTCTGGTTCAGTGGTCTTCTACCAAGGGTACCATGCCTAGTGGGCATTTGGAAATTGCAGGGGTACTTTTTGCCATCATGAAGACTGAGGGGAGCTATTGGCCTGGTCCATGGATTGTAAACGTCCTGCAATGTATAGGGCTCTGCAGCCCAATGAGGAATGATCTTACCCTATTAGAAACCCTGCTGCCTCTCTCTGCCTTGCCAGTTTCACTTCCTGCTTCTTCCCTGTGTAGCCACATGCAGTTCCCTCTGCCTGGCCTCCCCCACCTCCCAAACAAAAAAATCCTAGCTATCTGGATTAAATGTTATTATTTATATTGTGTTCTCCAGCCAGTGTTTGTTGGGATTTACCCATATGCTTATCATTTCTTTGCTCTCCATTTCTTCTTGCATTTCAGACCATCCTTCTGGGATTATTGTATTTCCTTTTTGAAGTATAGTCCCTTAGAAATTCCTTTCCTGAACATCTGTTGGTAATAAATTCAGTTTTCATCTCTTTAAAAAAAAAACTTAAGCCACATTTTTGGTAACTTAATTTTGATATGCTTTCAAATTTACAGAACAGTTACAAGAATAATAGAGGAACTTCTGTATGTCCTTAACCCAGATTCAACAATTGTTTACATTTTGCTATATCTGCTTTGTCATTCTTTCTTTTAATCCTTCTCTTCCTTTTCCTCTCCCACTGCCAGCGTCTATATAATATACACATATCACACACACAAATTTTTTTAAATTAAATCTTTATTGTTCAGATTATTACAGTTGTTCCTCTTTTTTCC